AAAAAAAAAAAAAAAAAAAAAAAAAAAAAAAAAAAAAAAAAAAACGCTAAATATATAATGCTACGTCGCGTTTCTCCCAAAAAAAGCTATATAGCGAGCAATAGCGAGCTATTTAAAACAATGTTTAAAATATACTACCTCCTATTCTTTTTAAATGTCATTTTGGCATTATCAACTATTAATAAAATAAATGTCGTTTTGGATATTTTATACATATTTTTCCATTGTTACCCTCATCTATCTAATAAATACACTACTTCTTTTCATATTCACTATTCATCTTTTCTCAAAACATTCATCCCTATCCTCATTAATGAGGGTTATTATTGACAAAAACAAAATATTCTTAATAACTATTCAACTTTTCAAAACGACACTTATTAAAGAGTGAGTATAACACATCGATTCGCCTTGGTTGATCACCCTGAATTTGTGTTATCTTAAAATTTAGGTTCATTTGTTTCATCATTCACAAATTTGAAGTGCAAGAATATTTCACTTTAATGTTCATTATTATTGTATATATTACCTAATCTTTTGTAGTTTTTTTTCCAAAAAAAAATCTTGACTTATAGCCTTGGAGGTGATAGGGCCATATATTTAATCCTTTTATATTTATTCTTCAATAGGTTGGTTGAAGTGGGGAAATAGTTTATATTTATTTCTTTTTTCCAGCCCAACTACTTTACGAAAAAGCTCAAATGTAAGTGCATTTTTGTTGTTTACAAACCGAACAATTATCAATCATATTATAAATATACCTCCAAAAAATAAATAAACAAATAAATAAATAAATAAAGATGGAAACATGTCCAATTAGAGAGTGTCTCTTTTTGGAACTAAAGTATATACAGTTTTGTTACGAAGTCATCTACATTTTATTCACCAATAGTGTATTGACACGTGTCATGCAATAAATACAATTTGTACAGTGTCAATATTGCTCCTAAAAAAATTATAGTAATTATTGATTATTTTATAGTGAAAATATTGCTACTAAAATATGTAAAAAAAAAAGGAACTTAAGTTCAAGAATTTTAGTATTTGTGTTAATGTATGAATTTGGTAGTGAAGAGAATCTCAAAACTTCAAATGTGAATTCACAAAAGCCTCCTTAATTAGTGGACATAATTTCAAGACTCATTATCCAATTAAGCTGAATTTAGTGATTATTAATCTCTTTATAGTTTATATATATATCATTACAGGCCCGCTCACCTGCCCACGGTGGGCAGTGCCCACTAGTTTGTTTTATATGAAAAACGTATTCTGAGAATACGTTTTTCAATTAAATTTAGTTGAAGAACGTATTCTCAGAATACGTTTTTCATATAAAACAAACTAGTGGACACTGCCCACCGTGGGCAAGGGAATATATTTATATATCATTAACTTCATATCTCATTTTGGTAGACCTTTTGTTCTATAAAATTATTATTGACAAAGTGGACCTTCTTGGGGGTTTCATAGTCAATAAAATACTGGTTTTAGCATCAAATGTAGAATTATATATACACACGCGTGTGTATGCGTGCCATGTGTACTTATATATATTATATCATAATAAATGTATTTCATTTTGTATATAAATAAATATATTTTTACTTGAAGGGTGGTAGACTTAAAATAGGAAAAGGAGAAAAAAAACAATAAAAATAAATAAACTCTAAAAGGTGACTTCAAAACGAATGGGAAGTCTTTCAAATAGTTAAAAAGGGATCAACAATAAAACTCTTTCTCAAGCCTCTTGCATTCATGCGAAAAAAATAAATAAATAATTAATAAAACTAAATAAATAATAGTTTCTATTTATTGCCTATGAGTCTATAGTTCTAATATATATTATCTTTAATTTCCATTTTTTACCTTTGCATTTGGTTGTAAAATATTTTCGTTTTGTCTATTCACCAAGATTTATAATATCTTTAATTTTCGTTTTGTAAAATATCTTTAATTTCAATGAAAGAATAAATAGTATTTTAATAAAATAAAATACTATTTATTTCATCTCGCTTTTATCTCTGTAATTATAACTAAACAATTAGAAAATAAAACGTAACCTTCATTATTGTTTTTTTCCACAAATTCACTATTCATTTACTTACATATTTCTTATTATCAATCTTATTAGTTAATATTTTATTATTTTTATATCACATCAACGCCAATCATTACATTTTTATTTCGTATAAATTCATTCTTCAATTAATATCAATACTTGCAAAACAACTTTTTCCAATGATGCAATTTTTTTTAAAAAAAAAAAATCTTACATCAAATCTCACTCACTTACCCTAAATAGTAACACGGTTTAGCTATGAAGCCAATAGTTGACTTCATAGTGGAACCAACTTTCTATATACAACAGATAAATCTATCATATTAATAAAATTATATTAGTGTTATTTAAGTAATCAGAGAATATGGTAAATTTACTTGTTGTATATAGAAGGTTGGCTCCACTATAGAGCCAATTGTTAGTTTCATAGCAAAACCGAATAGCGACATAAGTTAGTGTCATGTCCCTAAAATGGACTGAAAAATTTTCCTAATTTTTTTTCCAACAATAGACCAATGATTTCATCCTTCTATTTTATTATAATTTTAATGAACTATTAGAAATAGGAGTCCCTTTCCCACTTTTTTTTTTTTTTTTT